AAGACAGCCTGTGCTGGAATTGTGGTCCATTCTACACTGTGATGACTGTGACAAATGATCAACCTCATTGTACCTTAGTTTTCTTGCTCATGGGGTGGGGATACTGAGTGTTGTTACTTCATTGCATTGTTGGATGGAGTAAATAAATGAACCTATGTCAAGTTCTGGATCAATGGCTGGCACATGAGACATGCCATATGAGGGCTGCTTTTGCCATTCTCATAGTGCCACCATTTCTGCTCAATGACTTTTGGGAGGAAATCGCAGATTTCCTTTACAGACTGAGAAATCTCTGAGGTCCTTGGGAAATGACGCTTGGAATAGCATGTGCACTTGTAGCTGTAATCCCATAGGGAGCAGCAGGCCACTTATCCCACAGACTGCCCGTGTACATTCATACCCACACCACGCCTCGCCAGCTGACTGTGCTTCCCACTCAACTTCTCTTTTTTTCAGCCTCCTGGCAGATTTCAGGGCAAATACAAAGTTGCCTCTTGCATTGCTCTGAGGAGTCAGCTAGATATAACTTCCTCATGCAATAATATTTGATGCTAGACTCAGTGATTAAGAACAGAGGTTCTCTGTTCATATCCCAGCTGTGTTGTTTTCCTAACTTTGCTTTCAATGATCAGTCAACACAGCAGCTCTGTGTGCCTCCGTTTTGTCTTTTAGATGGTGGGAATAATATGGGCCCCCATTTTGTGGAGTGTTTGGGATGATTAAATAGAATATGCAAATCCCAAGAAGATTGCCTGGCAGGTATGTTGAGCACATGTCATAGTCACTACATGATTTAGTATCTCAGGTGAAGAGAATCTTTGGTCTCTTGAATGATCAGTAACTCTGGGGTGGCAGGGAGGAAGTCCCCAGGACCCTATGCTAGAAAGTTAATTAATTCTAATAATTAATTTTAAACATGAGAAAATAGCTATATATTGGATCATCTATTTGTTTTACAACCACTTAAAATTGCCTAATTGGCTAGTAGTTCATTCCTATAATCCTGTCTACTCAGGGGACTGAGATCTGAGGATCGTGGTTCAAAGCCAGCTTGGGCAAGAAAGCCCCTGAGACTCTTGTTGCCAATGAACTACCTCAAAAAAGCCAGAAGTAGAGCTATGGCTCAGGTAGTAGAGTGCTAGCCTTGAGCACAAAAGCTCAGGGACAAGGACAGTGCCCAGGCTCTAAACTCAAGCCCCAGAACTGGCACAGAATACCACACACACACACACACACACACACACACACACCCTCTTAAAACACACACACACACACAGAAACACACACATACACATACCCTCTTAAAAACTGGCCTAGTAATACAAATACAATAAATCTCAGAGTTGGAAAGAACTCCAAAGGATGTTTAGTCCAACAACTCCTCACTAGCCTGTTTCCCCCAGCCTGCCTCTGGGGTGGTTATTTGGTCTGATTCTCTGGGGGTAAAGGGGGTTTAGTTTTATTCCCATTGTCTTTGGGATCTCTCCCATGTGTAATGTGCACCCATACCAGAGTGCTGTGAGTCATATATGCAGTACATGCAAGCACAGGGAACTTCCCATTGTGGTGGTTTTCAGATGGGAATAGTGTGGATGCTGATGATTGGAATACTAGTAAGAATGATAGTTTTCTGGACATTAGTTTTTCAGGGAATGAAACACAGCCAATGAAATCAAGTGAGAGGAAACCAATGTGCTCTCATGTTCATGGCTTAGATGTTCTACTAACAGTGAGAACAGTCAGAAATTAGATTGACTATTGGACCAGGAACTGTGGAGGTGGACAACTCAGGGGCTAGAAAAGGCCCTGGGAGGGGCTGGGAAGGTGGCTCAGTGGTAGAGCACTTGCCTTGCATGCATGAGGCCCTGGGTTTGATTCCTCAGCAACCACATAAGAAAAGAAAAACCCGGAAGTGGCGCTGTGGCTCAAGTGGTAGAGCACTAGCTTTGAGCTGAAGAGCGGAGGGACAGCGCCTAGGCCCAGAGTTCAGGCCCCACAACCGGACCCCCCCCTCCAAAAAAAAAGGCCCTGGGAATGACTCACCACTTAGAAATGATTCCAGACCAAGGTGAAGACCAAAGAGAATAAAGGACTTGGCCACCACAGCCGTCTACTGTGAGGACGCAGCTCAGAGGTCCCCTCGGTCTGGAGTCTCCGTTGTACTCCTTGTTGCCATTGTGGTTTTCAGTCATTTGGAGATATCCTGGACATATCTCTGCCTCAGGTTTCTTACTTGGAAAAGGGAAATAACAATTTTTATGTGGATTACATAGGTATAAAGCACATCTTAGAGTAATGCCAGGTACATAGAAAGCATAGTGTTTATTAATGGCCTTTCAAAGAATCGCAGGAATATCAACACACCGTTACCCCCCTACCCCCACCCCAGCATTGTTATATGAGCTCAGAGTCTCTTCTTGGCTTGCAAGAAATGCCTCCTGCCACTTGAGCCATATCCCCAGCCTTACCTCTTTCCCCCTTGGCTTATTTTTCAGGGTCTTATACTTTATATATAGCTAATCTTCCTGCTTGCACTTTCCACATAGCTGGGGTTATAGGTATATACCACCATGCCAAAATAACTTTTTTTTTAAACCAAGGCTGGCCTCAAACCATGGTCTTCCTAACTTCCACCTACCAAGCAGCTGGGATTATGTGTACAGGTTGCTGTGCCTGGCTAGATAGGTCATCTCCTAATCAAGCCAATGAATAAGTGTTTTTACCAGGCTGCTGAACAAAAGTTATTTTTTGTCTCACTGAAAAAGAGTATGGGTTTGATTTCTTTTTTATTCTGATTCAAAGCGATTTTTTTTTTTCAGGATCCATCTATGAATTCACACCTGTTTTCTCCTTTGGATCCCTTTGGGACATTTAGATGGATGGAAAAAACGATTTAAAAGTGACTTTTCCTTATTTGTAATTTCCAATTCATAGTCATCAAATGTGGGATAATGTGCTATATTCAGTGTCCCCAGCCTTCATGGTGGCATAATTGTGTCAGTTTTGGGGGTAAGGCCCCACATGGTATGAGTAAACCTTAATAAGGGAGAGTAGAATCAGCAACTATTTTACAGAAAATGGAAGGAGACTTTGTGCTTGATTTCAATGATCAAGAGAATATTCCAGAAAAGATAAAGGTTGAGACCTCAGCGACCAGTTGGATTCTTGATAAGGCTGAATGGGGAGGCTGGGAAAGAACTGACCAGGCATGGAGACAGTATGTGGGTGTCCCCCTGAGTGCTCGGGCTTGGGCCAAGATGAGGTGTTTGTGCTCACCAATGTATCCAGCATTTAACAAGTGCTCATGAAACATTGCTTTACATAATGGGGATTGAGAGAACAAGAAGGTGGTATTCTTACTTTCCCGGGAGTTATAGAAGGAGGACAGAGCCATGAAGACTCAGGCCGGAAGAACTGCTCAAGGAGAGGTGATCAGGGAGCCTACAGGATCAAATGACAAGTGAGGATGGGACATGGATCAGCAAAGCAGGAAGGAGGTGGGGGAGACCGAGGCACATCAGAGGCAAAGAATTCAGAAGTATCTTGATTTATTGGGGAAACTGGCCAGAGGGCAGGGTGTGCTGATGTGTGGAAGGCATGGAGAAAGTATATGTACAATTCAAAGGGTAGTTCATCAGCATGGCTCTGATGGATACCACCATGAAAACAAGAAAAGGAACCTTTAACACCCTGTTAGAAGTGGATTGGTGTGGTGTGATTGTAAACAGTAGGGTAGGTTTCTAAAGGTATTAAAAACGAAACTGCTGAATGCCCCAGAAGTTCCTCTTCTGAGCAAATACTAAGGGAATCTAAATCACCATCTTGTAAAGACCTATGAATTCTCATATTTATTGCAATATTATCTATAGTAACTAAGGTATGGAATCAACCTAAGGGTCTATAGACAGAGACATGGATAATGAAAATGTGTTGTGTACCTATGTATGTATGCATATATATAATAGAATATTATTCAGCCCTATAAAAGGAGATCCTGGTGCTTGCTACCACATGGATCTTAGAGAAATCATACCAAGTAAAATATCATGATCTCATGTGTGTGTGTTTTTTCCAGGCAAATTTATAGAAATAAGCAATGGTTGCCAAGGATGGGGATGGAATATGGAAGAGGATGGGAAGATGTGGGTCGAGGGATACACGGTAGCAGATACTGAGATAAACAACTCCAGATATCTAGTGTACAACTGGAAGATTCCAGTTAATAAAGTTGTATTTATTAGGGAAATTTCTTAAATATGTAGATTTTAGCTCCACTTGACACACACGCACACACACCCTCCCCCCCCACACAGAGTAGTTCTATGAGATGATAGATTTGGTGACTAGCCTTAAATAGTAACCATTTTTATTATCAATATATATATATATATCCTCTAACCTCATGTGGTAAACTTCAAATATGGCTCAAGTGGAAGCACACCATGGGAGAAATATTCACCATACAACTTATCTTTTAAAATCCATAACCAATATTTCAAAGATTTGGATTGGGTTGTTGATATAAAGGAGGATTTAGAACATTTATCCTATGAATGAGTTAAAACACACACACATACACACACCTTACATACACATATGCAGAATCTTTTCAATAACTGAAGCTTTTGGGAAAATCTTAGGTTCAATCATCTCATCTCTGAAGCAGGGCTTAGCCCTCTGTGTTTTGTAAATAAACGCCCAGTTTCTAGTATAGCCAGACAACAGGCTGCTCAGCCCAACACCATGGCTCTGTGGGTGGGTTCTGGATACCCCAGTGTTTTCTGTGGTGCTCTTCACCCATTTCTAACGACCTTTGTGAGCTTTCTATTCCTGTTTCATCTCTTTGGATGCAAGAATCTGCTTCAAAAGCACTTTCCATCCAGTTTGAACTTGGCAGGTCCAGTCTAATCCTCCATGTCCTTCTCTCCTTTCCTGGATTATCTGTCTCTGTGTTGGATTACAACCACAGGGGAGACTCATGGCTGTTGCTTTGTCCCCAGTTGACAGCTTCGGGGATGGTGAAGAAGCATCAACATCTTCTGAGAGTGATGAGGACGTGATCAAACAATTTGAGATTTCGGTGTCACGATCCCAGAGTTTCCGTGCAGCATCTGAGAAGGGAAAGACAACAGAATTGAACCAGAAACTCAAATGCAGCCGTTTGCTCTCGAGCCATGAAGAAGACAGCACAGAAGCAGGTGCGTATGGAGGTATTCCTTACATTATAATTTCCCGGTACCAATTTCCTTAGACCAAGGATGTAGGTGTATGTAAGAACATTTTTGAGTCATCTAAATACTATACATCTAAGAGTCCAGAGAGGAAAAGAAAATGAAGCAAATAATGCAAAATAATCAAGAGAGAGGATATAGAAAGAACAATATAGTCTTCCTCCCTCCCTCCCTCCATTCCTTCCTTCCTTCCTTCCATCCTTCCTTCCTTCCTTCGTTTCTTTGTTCCTTCTTTTTGTCAGTTGTTTGGTTTGAATTCAGGGCCTGGACAATGTCCCTGAGCTCTTCTGCTTAAGCCTAGTGCTCTACCACTTTAAGCCATAGCTCCACTTCCTGTTTTCTGGTGGTTAATTGGAAATAAGAGTCTCATGAACTTTCCTGCCCAGGCTGGCTTTGAACTACAATCCTCAGGTCTCTGCTTGCTGAGTAGCTAGGATTACAGGCATGAACCACCAGTGCCCAGGTCCAAATAGTATTTCTTAGTGCTTTACCAGCAAAGGGAAGGCATTCCTCTGACACCTTTCTGCCCAAAGCCCTGATGAGGCACAGATACTAGAACAAGGAAAGGTCTGGGAAATGTAATTAATAAAAACCAAGAGATTGCTGGGTCTTAGGGAAACTCTCTGTGGAATCTTTTGAGGAACCTCCATACTGCTTTCCAAAGTGGTTGAACAAGTTTACACTTGCACCAACAATGAAGTAAGGTTCCCTTCTGTCCACATCCCCTCCAGCATCTGTTGTTGTTAGAGTTCTTGATTTTTGCCATTCTAACTGGAGTGAGGTGGTATCTCAATGTTGTTTTGATTTGCATTTCTTTTATGGCTAGGGAGGTTGAGCATTTCTGCATGTGAATATTGGCCATCCTTCTTTCCTCTTCAGAGAAGTTTCTCTTTAAGTCTTTAGCCCACTTATTTTTTGGGCAGTTGTTTCTTTGAAGATTTGTTGTTGGGGGATTTAACTTTTTGAGTTCCAGGTATATTTTAGGTATGAGACCCTTGTCAGTTGTATGGCTAGTGAAGATCTTCTCCCAATCCGTGAGCTTTCTATTAATCTTGCTAGCTATGTCCTTTGCCATGCAGAAGCTCTGCAATTTCATGCAATCCCATTTGTCCAACCTTTCTTTGATTTGTTGTGTTTCTGAGTCTCTATTAAGAAAATTTCAGCCTGTGCCAACAAGACCTAGGGTTTCTCCTATTCTGTCCTGTAATGTTTTCAGGGTGTCTGCTTTGACTCCAAGGTCTTTGATCCATTTGGAGTTGATTCTGGTGCAGGGTGATATATAAGGATCTAGCTTTATTTTTCTACAAGTAGTTAACCAATTTTTCCAGCACCATTTACTGAAGAGACTGTCTTTTTTCCATTCTATTTTTTAGCTCCCTTATCGAAGATTAGATGGCTATAGGTCTTTAGGTTCATTTCTGGGTTTTCAATTCTATTCCATTGGTCCTGAGGTCTGTTCTTATGCCAGTACCAAACTGTTTTGATTACTATGGCTTTGTAGTAGAGTTTGAAATTTGGTATTGATATTCCTCCAGCACTTTTCTTTTTGTTAAGGATTGTTTTTTGCTATTCGGGGTCTTTTAATGTTCCATATGAATTTTTGGATTGCCTCTTCTATTTCCTTGAAGAATGAGGTTGGAATATTGATAGGTATTGCATTGAATTTGTAGATAGTCTTGGGAAGTATTGCCATTTTCATGATGTTGATCTTTCCAATCCAGGAGCATGGGAGTTTTTGCCACTTTCTAAGTTCTGTTTTGATTTCCTTTTTCAGGTTTTTAAAGTTTTCATCATAGAGGTCCTTCACTTCTTTGGTTCAGTTAATTCCTAGGTATTTTTTTTATGGGGCTATTAGGAATGGAGTTGCTTTCCTAATTTCAGCCATTGTTGGCATACAGAAAAGCCATTGATTTTTGAGGGTTAATTTTATACCCTGCTACTTTGCCAAAGTTTTGAATCACCTTGAGTAATTTGGGAGCGGAGTCCATGGGATTCTTTAAATACAAGATCATGTCATCTGCAAAAAGGGAGAGTTTACTTCTTCTTTCCCTATTTGGATCCCCTTTATGTTTGCATCTTGTCTTATTGCTATAGCTAGGCATTCTAATACTAGATTGAAGAGAAGTGGAGAGAGTGGACATCCTTGTCTCGTTCCTGAGTTTAGAAGAAATAGCTTTAGTTTTTCACCATTGAGTATAATGCAGGCTGTAGGTTTGTCATATACAGCCTTTATTGTATTGAGGAATGTTCCATGGATTCCTAATTTTTCCAGAACTTTCATCATAAAGGGGTGTTGGATCTTGTCAAATGCTTTTTCTGCATGTGTTAAGATAACTATGTGGTTCTTATCCTTGCTCTTGTTGATGTGATGAATTATGTGAATTGATTTGCGTATATTGAACCAGCTTTGCATCCCTGAAATGAGTCCTGTTTGATTGTGGTGTATGATTTTTTGAATGAATTGTTGAAGTCAATTGGCCAAAATTTTGTTGAGAAGTTTTGCATCAATGTTCATCAAAGAAATGGGTCTATAGTTCTCTTTCTTTGATGAGTCCCTGCCTGGTTTTGGGTTATTATGAGGGTTATTATGGCTTCACAGAATGAGTTCGGTACTCCACATAGTGCTCCCCTATGACCCAGCAATCCCACCCAAATGATCACAAACAAGACCATACTAAAGCTACCAGCACAACTATGTTTATTTCAGCATTATTTGCCATAGCTAAGATATGGAACCAACCCAGATGCCCCTCAGTAGATGAATGGATCAAGAAAATGTGGTATATATATATACACAATGGAATTCTATGCCTCCATCAGAAAGAATGACATTGCCCCATTTGTTAGGAAATGGAAAGACTTGGAAAACATTATATTAAGTGAAGTAAGCTAGGCCCAAAGAAACATAGGTCCCATGGTTTCCCTTGTTTGCAATAACTAGTACATGTCTGAGTCAAGCAGAAATGGTCAGATAAGTTGATGTTAGGTGAAATGAACCCCAAGATAAGTATTCATATATTTTTTTTTCTTTCATGCAATTGTTTCTAACATATTTATAAGATGATTTATTTGTTGCTTTGTATGTCCGTCCCCCACGGTATAACCCCTGCTTTCACTGTATTTGATGTTGGTATAATTTATGGAGCGGAAGGGCAAAAACAAATCGTTTAACTAGGGATACAGGTGGACCCATTGCAACAATGAGATGTACAAGTCGTTTTGTGGAAAAATGAACTTTACAACTTTGGTGGGAGGGGGGAGGATTGGTTGGGGGAAGGTGGGGGAATATGGGAAGGGAAACAAAGAGGAAGCAACAATGCTTGATAAGAAATGTACTCGTTATCTTGCCCATGTAATTGTAACTCCTCTATACAGTATTCTCACAATAAAAAATAAAAAAAAAATAAAAATAAAAACCAAGAGAACATGTCAACCCATCCACTTTCATGGCTGGTTTCAGAGATCTGAGTTCTCCAATCTTTTCCTTTTTTCCTTTAGAGTATGTGGATACTCATACCAATAAGGGTCTAATAGTAAATAGTGTTGTACTCAACACTAGAAAGAAAGAAAAAACAGCACATAAAATGAGAGAATATAAAAGAGAAGAATATTTGATTTGATGTTAAAAACAGGACAAGGCGAGACATCGGTGGCTCATGCCTGTAATCCTAGCTACTCAGCAGGCTGAGATCTGGGGATCGTGGTTCAAAGCCAGCCCAGGCAGAAATATTCCTGTGCGATTCTTACTTATAATTAACCACTCAAAGTGGTAAAATACTAGCCTTGAGCAAAAACTGCTCAGGGGCAGTGCCCAGGCCCTGAGTTCAATCCCCCATGACCAACAAAAGGAAAAAAAAGTACAGGAAGAAAAAAGAACAAAGGAAAAATAAAAGCAGAGTTAGCAAATGACCTCTGTTTTCTGTAGGGAAAACTTGCAATCCATCATGGTAGCTTGACTATTGACATAGCCAGCACAACATTCTTTATAGCTATTCTTCTTAGCCTAAGGTAAGCTATTAAATATCAGCCTGTGTAACCAAACCACACTATTGATGTTTGTGGATCCTCTGCTACTTCCTCAGTCCCTCTCTTGGTGTTTCTCTTTCCCTGGTGTTATAGCATGGCATCTTTCTCTCCACAAAGAGGGCAAATGTTAGCTAATGAAAGTTAATAGCAGTTGATTCCCTGTGAGTCTCTGGTTTAATTCTAAAGCTAATGGCCCCATTTCCCAGAAGCCTGATTTACACAAATGGCTGAGGTTCTTAGAGCTGTGACAACCACCCCACCCTCACCCTTCCTGGAAGTAGTAATAACTTATCTTTTGTCCTAACTGGCAATTCTGAATTTTTGACAGATAGTTTTAGAGAAGGTAAAAATGTTTTTCTCTACTGGACAGAGGGAAGAATCTATAACATTGAACAGATTACCTGTAAGTTTTGAAGAAAACCAGTAGGATTTTCAGATTAAATTTTAAGCTGCCAAACAGCATGGAAATATTAATGTCATTTTTATTGCTTGATATTTTCCCCCTGTTATGTCCTTTTGTTTATCTTAATATCTGTAGGTTTAGTTCAGCAGCAAAGCATAATGAAAAGATTATAAATCAATCCTTGAGAAGCTTTATTTATTTACTTTTGGACTGTTGTCCATTAGCTATTTTATTCTACTATAACTACTGGTTTGTTTTTTGTTTTTAAAGATGGTTTAATTGTAATTCTGCCACTTTTAAATATAACCCAAGTGTTGAAAACTGAAATTAAGAGGCTAAATCCAAGAAAAATCTGACCCATGAATGAACTACAAGTGTACTGTTGAACTCAAGGCCTACACTCTCTTCCTTAGCTTTTTCACTCAAGGCTAGTGGTGCTTGGTTACTTGAGCTATGCTTTCCCTTCTCCCTTTCTGCTGGTTAATTGGACATAAGAGTCCCATGGACTTCTCTGTCCAGGATGACTTTGAATTGAGATCCTCAGATCTCAGGCTTCTGAGTTGCTAAGATTCAGGCATGAGGCATCAGTACTCAGCAGGTTGTCCCATGTTTTACTTTTAGTGATTGCATTCTAGAGTCGTTGGCGATGTTATTTAAAAGATGTCCTAGGCATGGGGCTCTTTTGTCCTGTGAATGTGACTTAGTATTATTAAACTTGTCTATGTATCTGCATTCCTGGTAAAGTTGTGGTGAGTTTGGTGTAAGCTGAATTGCAGGGTGAGTACCAGGTCCGTGGGGTGAAAGGTCGACTAGTCTACTCATAGAGCTTTTTTATTTTTATTTTTTCAGAAGTAATTTCTAAGTAGTAATCCTTAAGATGATTCATAAATCGTAGGTATTTATTTTCTTGGTAAATGAAAAAACAGCTTATCTGGGCACAGTGGTTCAGTCCTGTAATTCCAGCTCCTTGGAAGGAAGAAATAGCATCAGAATTTGAGGCCATCCCAGGAAAAAAAAAATGTTACGAAGACTTAAAAACCAAGCCAGGCGTATTGACACACATGTAATCCAGCTACACAGGAGATGCAGGTAGGAGAATTATAGTTTGAGGCCCACCTGGGCAAAAAGCATGAGACATAGAAACACAGCTAAAGATAAAAGGGCTGGAGGTAGGGGTGGAGCTCAAGTGGTAGACAACTTGCCTGGCAAGCATGAGGTCCCGAGTTCAAAATTTCAGTACAGTTATCCCTAGAATCTGAACTTAGTTTTGCTTCAAATGATATTTTAATCATGGTTTAACCAGAGAAATAGAACCAGTATATATATATATATATATATATATATATATATATATATATATATATATATATGAAAACATACATATGAAAAATCTCCTTGAAGCCCACTGAGTATCAACTCTAATTACAAAATGCTTCCTCATCAAGTCCTGTTAATTGTGTACTTGACACTTCTGGCCCAGCTAAGATGACTCATAAAACTGACTACCATAGATAAAAAGTAGATATCTTTACACATGGCTGGTTTGGTTGGTGGTGCTTGAGGATTAAGAGTAGGGATAAGGAAATGATTTGGTAGCAAGGCCTCTTTTCATTGAAGTGTACTATAAGCTAAACAAGTTGAAGAATTTCTCTGAGCAACTAAATGCAGTTGATGTGACAGAATTATGACCTGTAATTTCTAAGAAGCCAGGATACATTTCTCTGACAAGAGGCCATTACTTGTAGTTATGTGTTTAAGAGCACTATCTTATTCATCTAAAGGCCTAGGTAAACTGCTATAGGGAAAGTCAAATCACCTTTTTCTTTTGAAACCCCAACCTTGCAACTGATAATCCAGGTTGCCTACCTAATTCATTCATTGCCTGCCTGTCACAGAAAATGGTTTGTTCCATTAATATAGTACTTCTGTTTTTCAGTTATGAATAATGTTTCGTGGCTTAAAGTAGCTGTTGAAATTTCTCTTATTACTGATCTAGGTATTATCACCATAGGAGTTAAAGCCTCAAGACAATTTTATGGGTGTAATTTCTTGGCAAAGTTAGATTTTGTGCTGAAACCCTGCTGGGCACTACCCACATTGATAGATGACCCACTGTTTAATAGGACATTTTACTGTTCATGATTTGAGGAATGGGTGTGCTAATTAGAGACTTAGAAGAAAATTCTGCTTCGTGTTGTAGGTTTTTGCAAGTGGAGCTTTTCCTCATTCTGTCATTTTCTGTGGCCTTTTAAAAGTGTATTTGCCAAATAACTGGAAATGTGAATGTAAAATTTTTGTGATGTCCAGTAAAAATATTTCCAAGAAGATTGAACTAAATATCTAAGAATAACAAAGCAGATAAGGGGATTGTTTACAATGGCTTGGTTGTGTGTATGTGTGTGTGTGTGTATGTGAGCAAAATCTCAAATGAGTAGTCTACTAAGGTTGTGTCCAAGGATCACATGTGCCTGAAAATGTTTTTCTGTGGTCTGCACAAGTATATATTGTACAAGTGAGGCTATGTACTGCACAGGTGATATACTGCACAGATGATGCTATATATTATAAGTGCATTTTTTCCTGTGTATGCATCTTGTACTCCATGGTTAACCCTGTCACCAACATTCCATGTTGCTGCACACCTGGATGCTTAAAGTTTCAGTGGGAAGCTACAGCAGATGAAGACAAGGTCATAGACGTGTACTTAGTGCCTTCCAGAAGCATATGTTGGAGCTGAGCCTGCAAGTCTAATAGAGGAAATAATTACTACCGTGAATGTGTACATAAGAGCTTTCTTATGTACACATTCATGAATTTATCCTAAAGATAAAAAGTAACGTATTTGCAATGGTTTTCTTGTTGCCAATTTAGACTTGGATGGTGCCAACCAACTGAGTTATTCTGAGATAATATCTTATGAAGATCACCCCATCTCTACTCCCTCACAGTCCCCACGCAAGAGCGGGGAGATTAGAGTCCATGGATCCTCTCACCAAGATACCAGTGTGGCTCGAAGCCTCCATCGACAGTCTACCGATGGCAGCATGGAGGTGGAAACCACCTTTACCAACCGGGGCTTCGAGGATTCCTACGCCACAGACAGCTCCTCTGTGTGGAGTCCAGAGGCAAGATTTTGTTTTCTTTGCTTTAATAGTGTGTACCCATCTCGTCTCCTTCCCTTCCATCTATCCCCACCAAGAAAGCATCTTTTACTTGAACTTTTCCTTTTACTACCCATCTTTTACTTGAACTAAATTTTTGTTGGTATGATCAAAGCTCTTAGGCTTATAAGGGGGGTGGGCAGGGAATGCTAAGAAAAGAAATGAAGAATGATGACAGAATGGACCCTTACAGGCTTATTTTTATATAAAAGACCTTTTGGTTCTTTCATAAGGCTGGTATGTTTCCTTCATGGGAAGTGGAGGTCATTGTCTGTTTTATTTACTCCACTTTTTTTTTCTGTGCTGATACTGGGGCTTGAACTCAGGGCCTAGGCACTGTTCCTTAGCATTTTTTGCTCAAGGCTGGTGCTCTACTAATTGAGCCACAGCTCCATTTCCAGCTTTTTAGTGGTTAATTGGAGATATGAGTCACATGGACTTTTCTTTCTGGGCTGGTTTCAAACCTTTTGAGTAGCCAAGATTACAAGTGTGAGCCACCAGTGCCCAGATTTACCCCACATCTTGAGCTGTGATTGAAAGAAAAATCATTTGAGAGTTTAAAAGGCAATGGCCTACTAAAGAAAGTCTACATGTATTATAATAAGGATTTTGCATTTTTATGTATTTGTTAGCAATGAATCAAATAACTGATGGCATTAATCTGTAATGACCTCCTGGCCATTGATGATGCTTTTTGTAATATATCAACAAGATTCTCTTCTCACTAAAGCTGGTCTATATTATGTCTGACCTTCCAAAGATAAGAGTGTAGGTGATAATGGCAGTAGAGACTCCAGGGACCATGATAAGGATTGATTGTATCAACGTGTTGATTATTCTTCATTGGATCCATTCTTCCTGTAATGATCCCATGACATTCCAAGTGCTGAATTCTGGTGCTTAATGACTAATCTGAAATTCTGTTTGATGAAATAAGTCATATAAGTATACAAAACTTTGAAGTGATATCAATTGTGGAGTTAGAGGTGAATAGACTTGATTAGCACAAGCCTAAGAGAGCAAGTGGGCTGAAACTCTTAGGAGGACCAGAGTGGTCACACAGACACATGAAATACTCAGGGAAATATAACAAAACCGCAAGAAATCATGTTCCAGGGCTTTAGGATATTCTGGCAGGGCACGGGGAAGGGCATGGGCTAGCGTGTGTGCTTCTGTGTGCTATTTCTGTTGAGAGCCAGAACTAGGGTGTGGATCTTTGGTTTGTAGCTTGTTAAAAGCTGTCTTTCCTATCACCTTTGTTAAAAAGAAAGAGAGGGCTGGGCTCATGTCTGTAATCCTAGTTATTCAGGAAGGCTGAGATCTTAGGATCATGGGGATGAAAATCAGCCAGAGAAGGTGAGTTCACAAGTCTTATCTCCTAGTGGTAGAGCTCTAAGCCTTGGAGCCAAACAAGCCAAGAATGTAAGGCCCTGAGTTCCAGTCCAAATTCTGCTATAAAAAAAATAAGTAAGGGTCTGGGAAGGTGGCTCAGTGGTAGAGTGCTTGCCTTGCATGCATGAGGCCCTGGGTTCGATTCCTCAGAACTACATAAGAAAAAAGAAAAAAGCTGGAAGTGATGCTGTGGCTCAAGTGGTAGAGCGCTAGCCTTGAGCTGAAGAACTGAGGTTCAGTGCCCAGGCCCAGAGTTCAGGCCCCACGACCGGACCCAAAAATAAAAAATAAAAAAAAGTAAAAAAAAAAAAATGAAAGAGAGAGAGAGAGAGAGAGAGAGAGAGAGAGAGAGAGAGAGACAGAGAGACAGAGAGACAGAGAGAGAGAGAGAGAGAGAGAAAGAGAGAATTTCTTCATTGCTTTATTGTTAAGAGTTGTGTCAGGCCCCATGTCATATTTAAAAAATACTCTTTTGGGCTCCCCTACCACAAAAACAAAGCAGAGCTGTCCACTTGCCTACTGATAACTGTATCTCCTTGGTAATTGTGCCATTAGGCTTAGAAAGGCCTCTCCACCTCATTCTCCTTCCCTCCACCCCCTGCCAGTTTACCTGCCTCCGGTGCTTTAATAGAAGATTGTGTTCAGGGGACTAAATGTTCTCAGACTCCAAAAATACCCAGACATCTCTGTGTGCTCCATTCAACCTCCTATCTATTTTGAGACAAAACTGTAATTTGGTGCTTCTACAGTAGAACTTCAAATCCAAATTGGAGGCAGTTCCCGTAACTGCCTGCTCTGCAGGCTTAGCTTGCCTTTTAAGCATTGATTTATTTGCCTCTTAGCTGTGTTAAGAACCTTGTCTTCCCCCGTGTAGCTGGTATCTGGAACAGATTGTGGGTCTGTTTACTTTAGGCCACATGGTGACATCAACACTATCTTACTAAAACAGAAAGGCTTTTCAGTTTGATAGAAAATCTTTAAACCTACATGGATTTTGACAATTTGATGCAAGTAGTTCTACCTTCAAGGGAAAAGAAAATAAAACAACCCAGGATATTAATGCTCACAGAATCATTTATTTTTTCTCTGAAGAAAACCCGGCATGGGGTATGACTCCCTGCTATGCTGATGGATTTTCCAGGGCTGTTTTCTCTGCTGGCAAAGGCCACGTACCTCTTCCTGCAGACCTAGGGCTTGGCAGGGAAGACAATGGGAGGGTGTCTGGCGATTCCCAGCGCACACGGAGACAGGTGTCCCACTTTTCATCTCCACTTTCCACTGATTAATTGGTTGGCCTTGAGAAGTTAATTAAAATCTGCCAAATGGGGATAAGAATGAAGAGATTTTTACCTTGCAGGAAGGTCAAACGGATTAGAGGTATTAACAGTACCCACATGAGGGTACTCCTTTAGTTACCTGCTGATAGGCAATGTGTGTTGAAATAATTAATTGCTCTGAAAATAAATTCAGCCCAGGAAAGGGCTGCAAAACCCCACTTTTCTTGGGCCACAACTTGGACTGGCTCATTCCAGAAGCTGCCTTATAGCCTGGAACTGTGGTTTATTCAGAGTTCTTAGGACAGAACTCTGCCCAGGATTCTCCAGACACCAGCAAATAGAGTGAGCACATTTATCTGAAGATAGCCTAGTAGACATATGGTGAGATCCTTGCTAATTAGGACATTTTTAACCTTGGCATTGAAGTTGGTGAAAACAACAACTAGGAACTCTTACCCAGTATTAAGAGCAGAAATCTAAAAGACTATGAAATCGATAGTAGTGTAGTTTCTACATTCCATCATCATTCCTCTTCTTTCTTCTTCATCTAATACTCCCAAATTACATATAAGTACTGATGGTGAAAGATTTGGGGAGAAGAAGGAAGGCCTTATGGCTCCCCATAAGGTCTGGGATTTTGAGGATTCTGCATTTCATTCAGACTGTCAGAATAGGACACTTGAAGACTCCTGGTTAGGCACCAATCATTGGCTTGCAAGGAGAGAGGATGTCCTTTATTTAGCTTTTCTTAGGTTTACTTTCCTTTTGCATGAAATGAATTAAAGTTTCTTCATTAGGTTGATGTAAGTATTTTGGAAGATGATCTTGCTTGGCTGGTGGAATGGTTCAAGTGGTAGAATACCTCCCTATCAAGGGCTTAGCCCTGATTTGAAACCCTAGTTCTGCCAAAAAAAAAAAAATGTGAGGGGGAGGGGAAAAATGATGGTGCTTCTTAGCTGGGTTACCCAGTAAGGCGGAGCCCAAGGAAAGTCCTTTGTTACCTACTCTGTGGAAGAGTGTAATCTCAGAGAACAAGAGTGCAGAAGGAGGGGGAGAGAGGAAGGATGATCCACTTGAAGCATCCACCATGGAGATGACCATCACTCCACATGAGAACTTGCTTGTGTCCCACATGCAAAAATGTTATGTAATCCAATTTCTTGACATCTTCCCAATGGGAGAAAAGTTTATGGCACTCTCTGAATTTTGTATACACGGTGGTAAGCAGGGTTCTATGGCTTTCTGAGTCCTGTAATCAACAGGCCATGATGCCAGTTGGCGATTATATTTTTATCAGCAGGAAGTAAGAAGTTATTGGGTTGTGTCAGGCTGTAGCTACTTAGAACAGACAAGCTGTGCCTATAAGAGAAGATGGAACCAGACATGAGACCAAGAGGATATGGTATGTGTAATAGCTGGTTTTTGTAGACTCGAATGGACGTAACATGGTACCTGACCTAAAGGAACAGCTTCATAGATGTCTGCTATTATTATTCATATGTAGGCAAGCAATAGGCTGAAAGAGATGTGAATTTTAAAAAGAGATAAAGGAGTTGGAGAGAAGATTCTGACTTGATTTTTGAGTTGGTCTAACTCCTTAGAGACTTGCTTCTAATATTATATCTACACTAGTCAGTTGTATTCAGAAGTTGTCATAGCAACCACTTTTATCACTTGAATCTAAGAACCTCTGAATAGCAATGCTCATACATGATTGCATGCTCAGAGGAAAGGATAGAAGGAGCTTTCTTATTTTACAAGAAATCTGAATTTTTCTTGGCAGGCTAATTTGAATCTTAAAAGGGAAGGGCATTTATTAGGTGTCTAGTGTATGTCAAATCTTTTACTTTTCACATCATTTCTGTGGAGTAGGTATCATTGCCACTTTACTATTGAGAAAAACAGAATGTGGAAAGGATTAGATAATTTGTCCAATGTCATAGAACTAGTAAATGGTAGACCTGGGTTTCTTAAGAATGTTTGCTTCCATTTGATTGCATGTTTCCCCTTGGTCTTGGTGAGATGGTTGCACTGGCCAACAAAGTACATCTTGAGGCAATTTATTATAATTTGTGAAGTGATCTCTGAATTAACAAAGTCCTGTGCTCAATTATGCAAATAAGAACTAATGAAAAGAGTGAGTCTGAGACCTGTCAGTTACAGGCAGGAATCTTGCCTTGATTTGTAAATTTTTGATGGGGTGGTTCACTATAGTAAATGCAGTTCATCTCAATTTCCCTAGTGAGGGCATTTCTTGGGGAATACAAGTGAACTGAAGTCCATAGTTAATATAAAGGGAGGGGAGCGTGTTTGGAAGTGGCCTCAGGCCACTGGTGGAAATAATGTGCAGTCTGAAGCAGTTACTTTCACACCTATTACAACATCACAGCATCACTCCGTCAGGTAGATATGTATTAATGTGAACACTGCAGCTAGATGATACAGAAGCTGGGTTTTGGCCAGGGCTCCAAAAGCTAGCTGGTGGTATGGTTAAGATTTCAGTCTAGCTATTCTCTTTCTAGTGTGGCCATCCTTTTTTGTTCTTGTTTTTTTTGGTCGGTCGTGGGGCCTGAACTCTGGGCCTGGGCGCTGTCCCTCAGCTCTTCAGCTCAAGGCGAGCGCTCTACCACTTGAGCTACAGCGCCACTTCCGGCTTTTTTTTTTTCCTGCTTATGTGGTACTGAGGAATCGAACCCAGGGCCTCATGCTTGCAAGGCAAGTGCTCTACCACTGAGCCACCTTCCCAGCCCCCTAGTGTGGCCATCCTTAATCCTTGCTTTTCAAAAATATGACCCAAGGCCAACATTCCTTGAAAGCATCTTAGAAATTTAGAATCCAGGACCCTCCCAAGAGGTAGCAAATCATCATCCATGAATGATTCATTCGGGTCCACAGTGAAGTTTGGAAGGCTCAGCTCTTTTTCTCCCAGAAAGATTTGAAAATGCACTGGGACATCACTTGTCCATGGTTTTCATTTTTGTCTGTAGGAGGTTGTGGTCTGCAGAGAACTACCCCAGGCTTAAACATTTCTTCTAGGGACTCAAGGAAAAGTCACCTGGTGCTCAGTTGCATGGTTGACTTAATTTAGACCCAATATCTCAGTTGGTTTTAGTGTTAGTGGGCAGTTGTGCCTTTTGTGAGTTTGTATGTATGAAAACACTTTCCAAAATACAAGAGCTTTATTTATTCATTCCAAAACCCTTTCTGAAGTCTCTCCATATGACAGGTACTGTGCCCTCCAAGAATTCACAAACTGATGGAGAAAGATCAGTATGCAGACCTGCCTAATATAGAAGGTTATGTACTGGCAGTCAGTCAGAAAGCATGGGTTCTGAAGATGCACTAGTGGGCACCGACTTGCCAGAATGCAATTAGGTATCATCATTTCTATTCCTAATCGTTTTCTCTGCCTGCAACAGGAGCAGGATGGGTCCAGTCTGCAGGTGCCATCCAGGATCTTGGAGCCCATCTCGAAGTGCGGTGACCTCGATGTCATCTTTGAATATAGAGCTGTGACCCAGAAGCTCACAGTAACCATTGTGAGAGCACAGGGCCTCCCAGATAAGGACCGAAGTGGTGCCAACTCCTGGCAAGTTCATGTTGTGTTGCTGCCGAGTAAGAAACAGAGGGGCAGGACGAGCATACAGAGAGGACCCAACCCTGTCTTCAAGGAGAAGATCACCTTTGCCAAGCTGGAGCCCAGAGATGTGGCTGCCTGTGCTGTCCGCTTCCGCCTCTATGCTGCTCGGAAGATGACCCGAGAGAGAATGATGGGAGAGAAGCTGTTCTATCTCAGCCACTTGCACCAAGAAGGAGAAATGAAAGTGACTTTGGTTCTGGAGCCAAGAAGTAATCTAAGTGTGAGTATGTTAAAAGGTGCTGTTAATGATGAGGTATATTCGAAGACCTGGGGTTGTCAGCCCGTGATTTAGTACGTTCAGCGGGTGGACCCAGACACCTTAATTTAATTTTCCATTTGGCTCTCCTCATTCTTATAAGCCATGATTTGTACTTCATGGTACAATGAGTCTTTCGTGCCTTTCTTCTTGATTATTTGATAGATGTATTCCCTGTCTGTTGCCTTTTTTTAAATGCAAGTACTGGGGATGGAATGTAAGGCTTGGGCATTGTCCCTTAGCTTTCTGCTCAAAGTGTACTACCACTTGAGCTGCTTCTGATTTTTTGTTCATTGGAGATAAGAATCTCATGCAATTACCTGCGTAGGCTGACACTGAACTGTGATCCTCAGATCTTAGCTTCCTGAACAGCTAGGATTACTCATTGTCCATTTTAGAAAATATGACAGCAGCAGTATGGTAGAAGACTTGGAGGAACCTGAGAGATGTATTTTCAAGATAGTAGAAAAGTAGTCCTACCTCTCCCATCCCCAACACCATGATGGTGACTCTCAGAGATAGGACTTTCAAGGCACAGCCCCTACCAAATGAGCAGGAGCAGCCTACAACAGCAGCACTGAACTCCAACCACTTCTGAGACCTTCCATTATTAGGGTCAGACTCTACCTATGTACTTCATTCTTCTACTTGCCCCAGACTGATTGATTGACTTGTCATTATGTAGTTATTTTTATTTATTTATGTGTACTTGTTCTGGGCTTGAACTCAGGGCCTGAGCACTTTGTGCTCAAGGTGAGCACCCTACCACTTGGAGCCACAGCTTTGTTTCCAGCTTTTTTAATGGTTAATTGGAGATCAGAGTCTCTCAGACTTTCCTGCCTGAGCTGGCATCGATCTGTGATCCTCAGATCTAAGCCCCCTGAGTAGCTAGGATCCCAGCTGTGAGCCCCCAGCACCCAGCTTTGCTCCTGTGTTTTAAAGAGAGGCACTAGAGCTATTTTGTCTACATGATGGGCAGCAGTCCCACTCTTGCCCTAGGCTTAACGTCATCTAAGGTGAAGATCACCTTTCATCAAACCACACGCAAAGATGAAGTTATTGCCAGTCAGTCTTCCATTCAAAAGTGCCATAAAGGCCAAGTGGACATAGAAATAAATCAAGCAGCTAACCTCCAACATTCCTGGTGGAGATGGGTGATAATGGGCAAACTGCAGTAGTCGAGGAAAGAGGATCTGAGGGGTTGCTGTTTGTGAAGAAAGGATGGCAAGGTGGTACAACACAGAGATTAAGCAATGGAAGGGACAAGACTGGTATCATGGAGCAGCTGAGAAGTTGAGGAAGTGGCCCTGGTAGCCATCGGGTGGAGAGGGGCTTATGTTATTTGAGGAAGGACAAAGGAAGCAGAAAGACACCCACTGAATTCTTAAAGATGCGTCTATCCCAGCTTCTATCTTCCACGACTTCTCTAGAGACAAGTTCATCCTTCTGGTGGCAAGGGCCAAACTTTTAGAATTCATCTGTGACTTCTCTGTTTTTCAGCTGATATCTTATTGGCTCAGTGTTCAAATACAACCAGCACCTGGTTCTTTACTGGATTACAGAAATCGCCTCCTGATGGTAGCCTGCCTGCTCTGCCTTTGCATCCAGGTCATGTCTCATCTACATTCAGATCCCTCTTTTTCTTAAGCTCTGGCAGAAGTATGTCTGAAATCATGGCAGATAGAAGCCATGGGAAATTTTAAAAAGTGCTACACTGTAAAGCTCAGGACTAGGAACACCCACATTTCTTACCCCCAGATCCTGGGCATTGTGGAGGGGACACAGATGGAAGGGAATGAAGGGACCAGTGTGATGAGACATTGAAGGTAGCATTTCTTCTATTCATCAGCTATTGTTGAGCACCATTATATGCCCAAATGAGGCTATGCACTTAGGACTGGGAGGTTTATAAGCCACAGTACCTATGCACCAGGGTACAAGAACTGGATACAGATTCAGAATTTAATGGGTTAGACAGGCAGTACAGTGACAGGTGCCACCACAGAAGAGTCTATAGAAGTACAATGGTGGGGGTAACCCTCCCCTAGAAGGAAGAAAGAAGTTCATCTTCTAAACAGCAGAGCCTTGTCACATGTCAGTCCCACCTAGTCCCATAATTTAAAGATGTATTCCAGTTTCTGGCCCTGAAGAGATGTCCATGATTTGATTAGAAAGACACTGCCTCTATCAATGTCCAGAATATCTGATGGCCTCCCTCCCCTTTTATGTGGTACTGCAGTTTGAATTCGGGGCCTCATGTTGGCTAAGCAAGCACTCTACCACTTGAGCCACTCTGATGAACCTTTTTGGTGTTGTTTATTTTCAAGATAGGGTCTTGCTTTATGCCTGGACTGGCCTGGACTATGATTCTATTTGTGCTTCCCTTTGCCACTGGGATGATAGGTGTGTACTACCGTGCCCAGCAATCAATTGAGAAGGAATTTCATGAATCTTTATGCCAGGCTCACCCTGCACCACCACCCCTGATGCCTACCTCTCAAGTAGCGAGGATTTCAGACGGCAGCCGCTGCATCTGGTGGTGTCTTTTATAGCCTTTATTTGCTGGCTTCCTGATAAGACATTTTAGGAAATTTTTTCAGATAGTAAAAAGAAAGGTTTAAGCAAAGCCCATTGTACTTGCTTGTGGTGGGGGAGGTTTGTTGGGGAGACTGGCTAGCTTACCTCACCTGGGCAATGTGCACAGCAGCACTCAGTAAGAATCAGCACCCCCTTCTGGTTTGTTTTCCTGCCCCTGTTCCTGGTGCAAAAGGCGGTACTCAGTAGAAGCATACCCACAAATAAATATGACAGCAAGCATGAGCTCTCTCCTGTATTCACCTGTTGCCTGCTGGGTCACTGAAATATACAGCTTTTTCTGTGTTGGCTCCTTTAGGAAAATGGTTGAGAAAGTGCTCATTTTTAATGCAATTGATTTCCTCAGGAGACAACATTTAGCATCTGGCATTTACCTAATAACCTTGAGAAGGAGAACTTGGGGCAAATGTTCTGTGCTGATCCATGTCTAGAGGTCATTCCTTTGATTGCTGAGACAAAATGCCTCCTGTTTTGCCACATTCATTAAAAGGGTGCAGAGAACCGAAACAAAACTCGAGCCTGGAGTGGATGGGCTCCATAGAAACACTCAGGCACAAATCACACAAGAGGGAATTTCAGAATGTATTAAATTTATTATGAGCTCTCCATGGATCTGAGGAGATTTGATTTACACTAGTAATCACATCTTTGTCTGATTGTCTTGAGAGAGAAAGTATTGAATGGAGACAGCTCTTGGAATAAATATGTCAGCTAATAATGCAGGGCTCTCACCCATGGCTGTATTCTGCAGTACATTGTCATTCACACCGAGTGCCCATTAGTAATCTTTGGCAGTCATCGAGATTGGGTCACAATTTCACCAAACATAATATCGGCTTTCTCTCTAAGAGAGGAATGTGGCATGGGCCAATGGATTCTTTGTGTTCTTCCCCTCCAGAGTGGAGAGTCTTCGCTCAGCCCATCTGCGGTTTCTCACAGTGATAGTGCTTCATCCACGCAGTCCCTGTCTCATGGAGGGGCGCCAGAGCTCTTGGTGGGGCTGTCTTACAATGCCACAACGGGCCGATTATCTGTGGAAATGATCAAAGGCAGCCATTTCCGAAACCTCGCTGTCAACCGAGCTCCTGGTAAGTGCATGTGTGTGTGCGTGTCTGCTGGCCCAGCTCTAGTCCCTCCAGAGGCAAGTTGAAAGCCATGCCTGCTTTCATCTTAATTCTTTAATTTTTCTAGTAAAAATGGTCTTGGTATGGCTTAGGCACATTTTCACAAAGCAATACCTCTGGGGTTCTTAATGGTTTTCTATTTAATTAGAAGGAAGGTTTCTCTGATAGCTAGCTGCATCTTGACATGAAATAGACTGGCCTGTGCATCTGTGTTGTTTAAGAGAAAGTAGTGATGTCACTTCAGAAACACAGTATGTATGAACAATTAAAATCTGATCATTTGTTCTGGGCCCTCAACTTGACATTTGTCCTCCCTCCTTTTGGAGGGAGGTAGATCTGGGATGGAATTTCCAGCTCTACTGTTGAGCCAGATCTTGGGGTTTAAGTAAAAGGACTTATGTAAAGGGTATAGCAGAGTGCCTAACACAGAGTGCCTAATGAGCACACAAGAAATATTTCATGGTTATGGTGGTGAAGGAACCAGATCTACGGCAACAAAGGAAAATTTTACCTGGTGAAATGGTGACCCTAGAAAGAAGAGCTCAAGATAGTCCCCATATTGTAAACCAGGGATCAGGAAAGCACCATCAGCTAACTGCTGATACCAACTGCCTCATCAAGCCTCTTAGCCTAGATAGTTGGAAACTGACCATTGAATGAAAACTAGCTCAACTTTTGCATATCATTAAAAAAATACTTGAAACCAAAGGCATAGAGACTTCATGCAAATACTGCTAGTCTGAGGGACGTAATTTGTAGCTAGAATGCTAGCTGCAAGAGAGTCTGGCACATGTTAATTTCTAGCTTATGATGAATGTGAATGATGGGGAGTAGACTGGAAGAGGCAGAGGCCTGTGAAGCATAGACCCCAAAATCTTATTGTGAGAAGGATGGATACATGAATACAGTGTAGTATGATTGAAATAATCAATATCCCTGGCCTCATGTGGAAGAAGCCAGGAAGAGTCAGGTAAGTGAAAGGAAAGGGTCAGCTCCTACAACTGAACTTAAGGTCCTAATTATTTTTGTCCGGCACTTTTCTGTAGACCATAGTGTCTGTTGGATGTCAATATTTTGTTAGGTAAACTATTAAAGCCATCAATGCAAGTTATTACCTTGGGTAATAGAATTGATTAGGTACTTAACCCATGTTCTGTGTCATTGCTCAAAGCCAGGTGAGAGCTATTTAGAAGGCAAAAATAAGTGAGCCTCTTGCTAAATGCAGCATTGTTTTTCACAATAGCCCCATATTTATTAAGATCTGGACTGACAACTTCCCCTTTAGAGCTTTTCCTAATCTCCTATGATTTGCCAAGGTCTGAATGATATTGTAGGAAAGTGGTAGAGATTCAGAGAATGATGAAGATCACATAGATAGGGCCTTTTCAAGTCCAAGGTGGGAGTCTGTCCTTTGTGTGCTGAGTGGTAGCAGCCAAAATAGGGAAGTACAACGGAGTGGTGAGAAACTGAGACTGTCAAACGGAGGTGTGAATTCAAGTTCTGCTGTTGATAAAGCTGTCAGTTTCTAAAACTCTCTTGATCTCAGTTTCTTTATCTATGAAATGGATTTCATTTCAAACTATGTAGTTTGTGGACAGTGACAATGTACATAAAAGCTATGATGTTCAGGTTGGTTCCATTGTGTGTTTCTAAAATTCTATCTAGAATAAAATATACCAAAGAGGAAATTCTTGGAATGAATATTTAAAACTTCAGAAGAAGAAAGCAAGTCCCAATTTGGAAATGGGTTTAATGGGTTTAAATGGCATCAGGTGGCATCAAGACTGGCCATCGACACAGTGTTGCAATTTGACCAAACCCTAACTGACATACTGTACTTTCTTCAACCAAAAGTTATTAGAAAACAATGCTGTTGTAAGGCTATTAATTAAACCACAAACCCAGCAGTGAAGACAAAAGTTTTCTTGTCTCTGTGAAATGCTGGTACTTGAGGCCTAGATGTGTCTTATACAATTCAACATGTACTAAGAATCAAGCCATTGCATTCGTACCATGTACAAGAGCATTCATAGCAGCTTTGTTCATTGTAAAGGCAGATGTTCCAATCCATAGAACAGTAAATAAACATGTAAAGGCATACTCTTAGTCAATAAAAAGAAGAAAAATTGAACTCAGGTTTTCAACTACATAATGTTTCAAATCTTACTGAGTGCCTATTATGTGATTGTGTTGATATGAAGTTCAACAACAAGCAGAACTAATTAGTATTGGGTTAAAAACAGAGGAGTGAGTGATCACCTCCAGAATGATGTGGGTGCCAGGACATACTGGACAGGATGTGAGGGAATGTTCTTGGGTGAAAGAAATGGTCTATCTCTTGATTGGAGTGTGGGACAAAGGAAAGAATGTGTTTGTAACTACTTGTTGGATGTTACTAAGCTTTGTGCATTTCATCATATGTGAATTTAATCTTAAAAACTATAAAATATTGGGGCTGGGAAGGTGGCTCAGTGGTAGAGCGCTTGCCTTGCATGCCAGAGGCCCTGGGTTCGATTCCTCAGCACCACATAAGCAAAAAAAATAAATAAATAAAAATATAAAAACATTCTTGATTGAGTCCTTAAGCTGCTTTTTTAAAAATAAAAAAAAAACTATAAAATATTGAACCATAGTTAATGAAATGCATGCCAAATGATGTTTAGGAATGACTAGCAATGCTAATCATTTCTAAAATGGGTGGATAGATGTTATGTATATGAGACAATAAACAAAAGTAAAGCTTCAAGGTGACGGGTGAATGTGTATTTGGGAATTGAAGTTCTAAAATAAGGGGAAAAATAAGCTTGCCTGTTCTGGAGAAAATCAGCTGGGTTAAATGGATTTAGAAAAACAATCTAGGAGTCTTAACTATAGAGAGGGGCCTCCATGGTTAGAAATACCCTTGTGTGTATGTATGTGTGTGCGTGCTAGTGTGTTCAAGGCTAGTACTCTACCACTTGAGTTAGATCTCCACTTCTGGATTTTTTGGTAGTTTACTAGAGATAAGAGTCTCACTTTCATGCCCAGGCTGGCTTCAAACCTGATCCTCAGAATTCAGCCTCTGAATAGCTAGGATTACAGGTGTGAGATACCAGCACCTGGCTTAGAAACACACTTAAAAACAAACATTAGGATATTTCAGGATTGGTATTATTCTTCTGGATTCATGTTGGGAAGGATAGTTGAGGATATCTTCCATGGTACTCCCTAATTCACATCCATCCATGAAAAATCTAAGGCATCTATTCCTTTCCTAATTTAGAGAAATAGAGCTATGCATCTATGTATCTATGTACCTACCTACCTACATACTTACCTACATCTATCTATCTATCTATCTATCTATCTATCTATCTATCTATCTATCTGTGTGTCTATCTATCTATTGTTGTGGTGAAAATGTCTATAAAGTGTTGTTTGGAATCATATAGGTGGGCTATTTGAAAATTATTAAAACTAGCTTATAAAGCCTATTCATAAACAATAGTTAAATGAGGCAGCAGTACTAACTGATCTTAGTCCATACCAACTAACAAAGTGCCCTCATTCCAGTCCCTTTCAGGGTAATATCTCATTTAGTTCATGCAGTCAGTGTTCAGCTACGTTGTTGTCATTGTTATTAAGATGATAATAGACTAGTCTACAAATCTGTTGGGCAAGGATAGTCCTCAGGTTCTGTATATGGATGATTGCCTAGGAGAAAAAGTAGTTTATGGTGTCTGGTAGCCATCTGAAATGCTTTTGGAAATGTTATCAATAAGTTAGATCCATTTAGCTAGGTATGGTGGCACAGACCTATAATCCCAGCACTCAGGCTGATGCAAGTGGATCATGAGTTCAAGGACTGGCTAGGTTGCCTAGCTTAAACTACATAGTGAGACTCTGGTCTAGGAAAAGTGAAACAAAACAAAAAAGAGTTAGAAGCATCTGATTATCTTTCGACTTTGTTCTGATGAAAAAGCAATTCAGTTATGACGTAACAGCCCGAGTCTCAGCCACCCTCTTGGCCTCAGCATTTGATTAAAGCTCTCTGAATTTCATTCCTTTATTAAATGAGGTTAACAAGGGAAAGGTAGATACACATGCTTTGTTAAAACAAAAAGCTTCTACGGGCACATTCCCCTCTCCATCTTCATCTTCACTATGCCTCGTGCTACGATGTGTTGCTGCATTGTGTACACGTGTGTATATATACACACATATAATGGTCCTTGTCAAAAGCTATCATTAAGATGTCCCCTCCAGTTAGAAATAGCACAGCTCCCAGCTTCTCAGCATGTGCACGATTAGCCACACGTGATAATTACAGCCCAAATGATAATACTTAACAGCAGCAGCCTATTAACCTTGTTAGGCACTCACAATAGCAGAGACGAGAGGAAAGAAAAACAAAAAAGCAAAGCAAGCTGCCTCATGTTTCCTGTGAAGAACAAGCAGGGTGCTAAGAGTACTCTACAAATGGAGTGCAGGGGAAAAGTGGGGGAGGAGGGGGGAGCCAGTGGAAATGAACACATATGGCACATAGGACCTACTTTAAAAACCTGGGTCCAATGTTCAGTCAATTAACGACGGTTTACTAGTACCCACCATCCATTCAAAATTCAGACCAGTTTGTCTGAAGATGTAGATGTGGCACTAACTTATCAAGGGATAAGTGATAAGATATGGCCATTCTTTATCTGCATCAACTGATTTAATTCTCCCAAGGATCAAATTAGACAGAAAATCTTAAGAACAATAGAATAGAAGATAGTTACTATGGCATATGAATTGCTTCTGGTATGTTTGAACACCCAGTGACCTACAGTGGAAGTAGAACAGACTCTCAAGGGTAATGGCCAAACCTAGAGGAAAATGGGACAACACCAACAGCAACAATAACAACAACAACAACACCTTAAGAGATGAATATTCAACTTAGCAGCTCCTTCTTCTCTGAGTGAATGAAAGATAAAGTTACTTTC